CAGAACCAATATGTTACACAGTGTGCGTAAACACTATACAACAAACATCACTTCTAAGAACAAATAACATGAAAAGCCGTAAGAAAATGAAGTTACTCTATTGCATAAAATAAAATGCTTGACGTTATTTTCCAAAATAGCACATAATATTATTATGTGATAGGGTGTGAAAGTACTTGAGTACACTCGAGCGCTCGAGTATTTTCACCCAGTGAGTACTCGCTTAAGTAGTCTTTAAATATAATTCAAGTACTCGCTCAACTCCAAACCGCCGAGTACTCGGGAAATAGCTAAGAAATTTTACTATATTTGTTTGTTGTTTTTACCATTATTAACTCTATGTTTCTGCTTTTTGTATTTTTGTTATTATCATCTATGTTGTTATGAGCACCACAATTTGAAGCTCAAATTTAAGAACGATCGAAAATTGATTCTTAGCATACAAAAAGTAATCAACAAAGCTTGTAATGAAAAAGTAGTTTACTATAGACTAGTATTAATTAACATGGCAAAGGCATGCATATTGAAATATTAGCTAAATTTGATCAATGTCTATACTCCTCTGCCCTTTCCCATACAAGAAAAATCACACACACACACGCACACACACACACACACACACACACACACACACACACACACACACCCTCCCCTCTCCTCTTTGCATTGTTCTTTACGTTAAAAGATTTAGTTCAGGCGTCCCTCATGTCGTGTTTTACTATCGAATCCATACGAAGTGTGTGCCTCTATAAATAAATCATTGATGGTCATCATCATTGATAGACTGTGCCACCACTTTCCGAAGAGGAAATTTACTCGTTAATCCGATCCGTACGTTTTGCATAGCAGTCAGTCAAAAAGATTTTTTGAGAATTACTGAAAGTTTCAAAAAGATCTTCGCACTAGAAGTATTCTAAAATTTGAAAAATACAACCCCGGGCGTACAAAATGACCCCAGTGCGTACGGGTAGGGTTAAACTAAATCGCCGATACGGTTAGGTCATGAAGTCTGTGCACAAGATTTGAGTAATCGACAACTCACTCGTGTATTTCATATACCCGAACAAGCACACCCCTAGTTGAGTTTATCTTGTCTTGTTTCTGAATAATAATGTCAAACTTGCAATCTGATTGATGAAGAATAAAAAAGCAGGCCATGTTTTTGTGCGTATGTGTGTGTGTGTGTGTTTGTGTATGTGTTATATGTGTGGGTGGGTGTGTGTGGTCGTGTCTGTGTTTGTGTGTGTAAATGTGTGTGTGTGTGCGTATGTGTGTGTGTGTGTGTGTGTGTGTGTGATCGTGTGTTTGTGTGTGTATGTGTGTTTGTGTGTGTGTGTGTGAGTGTGTGTTTGTCTTTTTTAAATCAATGCACATACCCTTGAAAGGTTATAAGATAATGGAGTGATTGTTTACTCCTTCAGGACTGTTCATCTGACCGAAAGTCTGTTTGATGGGTAGACTGGTGCGCTGGATTTTCCTAATTCAGTTGACATACGGGGGAAAAAAATATGTTCATGTCATTCTCTTGTGAGTAACACACTAACAGAGAAACAGGCACACTTACTCCTGATAATATACGTCTTGTTGTTATGAAACAAAACAGCCATACACCAGTAACCCTTTTTGAAACATAAGCACGCCATATTGGCCTCCCTCCCTCTATTTACTTATGGAAACTATCATATGAAAACGAACCTATGGTTTTAAAAACTGATACTACTACAAATCAATAGATATGCAGTTTTCGGAACCCATTCTCTGAAGTCATCGAGCTGGACCATTCTCTCACACATGTTTCTTAGTTAATTTTATTTTTTATACGTGCCTTTCTGCCACAAAAAATAAAACACACGCGATTATTATATACTAATGGAGCTAAGGCCAAATTTTGCGAACATTATATTCTCAGAAATGGCAGAATGAAAAAAATATGAAACTTTGCCAGTAACCGTAACTTGAAACGTAGTGTTGCACTTTTGTATTTTCATTAAGAT